CTCAGTCTCATTTGCTGGCTCCTCCATTGCTACCCAACCTCTGAACATTAGAGGACTCCAGGGTTCAGTTCTGAACCTTCTTCTCTACTCACTTTACTCTCTCTCCCCTGGTTGTCTCATCTAGTTCCTGAACTTTCAATTGCATCTTAACAGTTATTTATTATCACAATAAATCTATGTAACAAACCACCCCAAAGCACAATGACTTTAAGCAATCAACATTTATTTAGCTTGTGACTATGCAGGTTGGCTGGGTGGTCCTACCATCTTTTACTGGACTTGAAAGGGAGTAGGACCCTGTGCCCCCCTCCCAACGCTTCTTGTTTGTGGAGAATCTGAAGTCTCCCAGGCTTCCCTAAGTCTTAGAAGAGCAGGCTCAAGCAGTTGATTAGGACAAGCCTGCAGGCACTGGGGGATGGCGACAACTCTTACCACCTATCTCAACGATTAACTGAGATTACGCCCACATTCCCTTGAGAACTTCCAGGGCTGAACAGAATCTTTAGAGATGTTTTTTGGGGTTAAAGCAACTTTCCTTTTTGTTACCAAGGCTGTTGCCCCCAGGATCATACCCCTGCCTCTCCCTCGACTAGAAACCAATTACTCTCTCTTACCTAAGTCTCAGGAGGCAGATGCAGAGAAGAAACAAAAACTGGTCAGAACAGAGTACCCCTTTTCTGCTCTGGATGACCCAAAAATCATACCATGGCCTCCTGGTTCCTAAGAAAACTGGAAATTCCAACATGTGTTACTTGTCAGGAATCTCAACCCCTCCTAATCTTACCCTGTGGTGGGAAGATTTCCAGCACTCTCTACCTGGAAAATTGAACTCTCAAGGCCATACAGCATTTAAATCCATTTCTTTCTCCCTTGCCTGCCCTAAACCTGGCCACACAGGGGATTACAACCAATCAGGCCAGGTAGAGATCAGAAGTCTATTAGAACAGGCTGAAAGCATCAGAAAAAGGGAATGAAGAACTCGGCTGGCAAATGTCCAGCGTCTTGCCTTGGCTATTGCCCTCCTTAGGCCCTGCCATAATTATCCTGGCTTCTTGGGCCATTTTTAATTCAAGTACTCTTCTGCTTCATTTCAAATTGTCTCCAGCAGTTTCAAAATAAGATTCTGCTGCTACACAGATGAAAGCCTATCCCAGGAACAGATTACTGAGACTTAGAAAAGATAGAGACTTCTACTCTGGTACAGCAGGAAGAAGCTACAGAAGGGAGAGACCTCCATCCATTCTTCCCAAGAAGACTCTTGAGTATGAAGTCTCTCGGTGGGGAGCTGACGCAGGTGCTTAGGCAGGCTTACTGACCCCGGCCGATTAACAAGGGAAAGGAAGTACCCAGCTGATGAAAAGGGAGGATTCCTCTTCTCCACAGCCGGCTCCTTAAAATCCAAGGACACACCCCAGTATCTCTTGCTTTGTTCCAGCTGAAGTTTCTGCTAATTGCTTTTTGTTTCAAGGCTGAGCTCTGAGGGAGGAAGAAGCCTATAGCAGAAAATAATTAACACAACCACCAGAGTGAAGATAATGATGGCTGAGCCCTCTAACAAAAGACCCCTCAGCCCCACCTGGGCAGGAGCTGTCTCTACCAGACATCTTGGCTGATGGCTCCCAGCTTGAGGGCTTCCCTTCCCGCTAGAACACCTTTCTTTCCTTCTCCCTGCTTGAGTACTTTCCTTCCATTTTCCCTTCTGAGCAATAAAGTGGCCATTCACTTCGTCCCTATGCCTCTGTTGCATTGATTCTTGCACAGCCAGGGCAAAGACCACTTTGGTGGGCTTTCTAATTTAGGGGACTCTCCATCCGCTAACAGACTTATCTACCTTTCTGGGTGTCAGGCGGCTGTTGGCTGATTTAGGATGGTCCCAACAGGATGATCAGGCAACTCAGGTCTACTACACTGTCATCTTCCATCAGGCTAGTTGAGGCATGTTCTCATGATGGTAACAGGGCAAAAGCAGGCCAAGCCAAACAACAAGCATCCTTAAAGCCTCTGCCTCCATCAGGCTTGTTAATCCCATCTGCCATTAATGAGAAAGCATGGCAAAGGACACTGATACAGGGAGAGATGAATAACTGGAGCCATTTTTGGACTCCTCCACAATACCTATATACAAAGCCTCCTGGACTGATCTGGGTCCTGACCTCTTTTCTGAGTTCTAGAAATGTTTGTCCAATAGCCTAGTAGACAGTCACTTGGGTATCTCCAGGCATTCTAAAAAGCATATTTAAAATTGAACTTTTGATCTTCTCCTTTTAAAACCTGTTCTCATCCAGTGTTCTCTTTCTTAGTAAATGATGCTGCCATTCACGAAGTTGCTCGAGTCACAAACCTGAAACTGGAGACTTCTTGACACGTCTCTCCTTCATCTCAAATACAATCCATCAAGTCCCATCAATTCTACCTCCAAAATATATCTCAAACTTGTCATTTTCTGTCCACCTCCCTTGCCACCCTTCCATTCCAAATTGTTTTCATCTCTCTAATGGACATCAAAAAATATCCCACTGGACTCTAAATAAAATCTCAAACCCTTAACATAGTCAGAGCCTCACCTCCATCTGCAGCCTCATCCCATGTCACTCTGCCCCTCCTTCACTAAGATTCCTAGCTTGTATTCATTATCCAGATACAGTAAGTGTTTTCTTACCTCAAGGCCTTGGCCACTGTATTGGCTTCTGAGGGATGCCATGATAAATTACTACAAGTTCTAGAGGCCAAAAATCCAAAAACAAAGTGTCAGCTGGGCCATGCTCTCTCTGAAAGCTCTAGAGGAAGATCTTTCCTTTGTCTTTTGTTGGTTGCTGGCAAGCCATAGCTTATAGTCATACCACTCCAATCTCTGACCCCTTTCTGCTGTATCTCCTTTTGTGTCTAAATTTCCCTCTCTTATAAGGACACTAGTTACTGGATTAGGGCCCACCTTAATCCAATATGACCTCATTTTAATTTGATTATATTTGCAAAGACCCCATTTCCAAATAAGGTCACATTCATAGGTACTAGTGTTTAGGACTTGAACCTTTTTTTTGGAGGACACCATTCAACCCATAACAGCCATGCTAATCCCACAGAACACACTGAGTGATAAGAACAAGGAGTCTGAGGCCCAGACTGCCTCAATGTGAATACCAGTTTTGCTCTTATTAGCTGTGTGTGCCTAGACAAGCCACTTAACCTCTCTGGGTTTCAGTTTTCATATCTATAAAATCAAGATGGAAATAGAGTCCACGTCACAGAGATAATCTGAAAATTAAATGAGTTAATTTGTACAATGCCCAGAATACAGAAAGCATTATATGTATGTTTATTAGATAAAGTGAGTTCTTTACATGCTCATCCTTCAGGTCTCAACTTAAATGCACTTTATCACACAGGCATTTCCTGATTTCTCCTCACTTCAAGCAAAATTCATAATTATTTATTCATTTGTGTGGAGTTTTTGTTGTTGTTAATGTGTTGTCTGTTTTCTCCTATTAGACTAAGTTCCATGAGAGCAAAGTGTGTCTGTTTTGTTCACCACTCTATTCCTAGCACCAATGAAATGCTTTGAATATGATAACTGTTAGTTAAATATTTGTTGAATGAATAAATAATTATGCAGGGCTCAAGCTGGTAATTTCAATTTTCATGGGTTTCTGGGGCCTTTAGTCTCCTTCTGTCTCCTCCCTGTCTCTCTCTCTCTCTCTCTCTTTTGCTCTCTCTCTAGGAATCTTGGAAAAAGAATCCTTTCTAAATTCATGACATCCAGAAACTTTTGTTCTCTTTCTCCATGTAGCTTCACAGAAGAATGGAGATGGCTTACCCAACAGTTTTCTATGAAAATCTGTCCCTCAAAGGGACAGAGAAGAGAAATATGGACCCAAGTACAGGAGTGTACAGGGATAGTGAATCAGAAACAATTACAGTGTAAGGGGGCACCACCACATGGCAATTCAATTAAAAAACAGGTTTTTGAATCAGGTATAAATTTGTTATCTATCAGTAGGAATTATAATAAGCATGGAAAAGATTGGGGAGGGGGACAAGCATAGCTTATGCCAAAGAAACTGCTGGTGCTCTTGTTACTACATTGCTTGTATAAATAGAAGTCTGGCTCTGTCAATAGGGAAGTAGATGAGACCTAGGTTATGCTATTTCTAGCTACAGAAAAAGAAACGGATACTTCATTCGCCAGGTAACATAGGGAGCCTGAAAACTCACCCGAAACTTGTTCTCCAGATTGGGGGGCTCCTTTTGCCAGCCGGATCCTAGCATACCTCTCGCCGTTTTACCAATATCAGCTGAAAGACTAGTTTTTTGATGTTTATGTGATAGGTATTTCAGGTAGAGTAAGTCATTTAACCTCCCTACAACCCTTTATGTGGTAGCATTACTTACCCACAGTGACAATGAGTAGGTGGTACGGCCAGGATATACTTATGATATTTCTAAGGTCCACATTCACTTAGCCAGAAGGGCTTGCCTTGCAGTCTGACATGTTTGAAGTCATTATTAAAACCCAGTCCAGCCGCTTCTTGACGCGTGGTCCGCAGAACCCTGCAGCAGAACCACTGTTGGTCTCTGTGAAAAATTCAGATTCCCTGGCCCTGCCCAAGACCGAAGCGGGGTGTGGGGTGGGTGACGGGGTAGTGATTCTGTTGCAGGGCACCTGTGGATGCAGGTAATTCATATACATGAGGACCACACGCACAGGCTATGAGTATCATCGAAAGACAACAGCATACCGCCCTGGCTGACACCAGCGCTCCTGGGAAGTCTCCAACCAGTTCGTTCGCAGAGCCGCCTCGTACCCCGCAGCAGCAGAACGGAACTGGGCAAGCGCTCCAGAACGCTGGGCGGGGTTCCCTGAGACTCCGCCCTTCCTTCAGGGGGCGGGGCTCTCCCTAAGTAACTTAATTCCGGCTTCTCCCCACCGCGTCCAGAGCCCCGCCCCCGGCTCGCGGACCAATCAGACGGCAGGTTGCTGAAGCTCGGGGCCAATGCCTGGAGCGGTCCTTATTTCCTCCCTGCAGTTTGAAACTGTCAGGTTGCTGCTAGGGAAGGCGCCGGACTCGCTGTTGTTTCCGTGGCGAAGCGGCGAGAAGACGCGGAGGGAGGAATCCGCGTTTGCCGAGAGCCGAGGCGGTGGGTAGCGGCGACCCGGGCGAGCCTGCGTCGAGGCGCTGGAGTGGGGTTAAAGTGCCTTGGCCTGGATTGCCTCTCCCGGGGATCGTAGAGGCCGGGCTAGGGGCCTTTTCCCGAGACGCGAGCCCTTCTGCTGGGATGCGGGACGGCAGGGGCGAGAGGTTTTCCCTTCCACGGCGTCGGGAAAGAGAGGGCAGGAGTGAGGGGTGCCTGAGTATAGCGGTGTTGTTGCCATAGGTTCGAGTCATTTAAAACGTAGTGGGCGAAATAACCATATCTGACTCCTTATTGTTTTTAAGTGAGAATTTAACACAGGGGTGAGTAAGAGAAAGTGATTAAAGAGAACTTACAGTCCTTTGCTGGCACGCAGCTGCTCCCCTTCTGCCTGTATTCCCTGACGTGGGGAGGGGCTGGTGCACCCCCTCTCCTTGCCTCCAGCTAGGGCTGGTCAAGGGCGCAGGGACGTCACCCTCCTGCTAGCTCGCACGTTAATTCACTCTTCCTCTGCCCCTTGGGGGTAAATTTGAATTCCCGGACCCCGCTTTCCCTATCAGCGAGGTGTAATTTGATTTCTCTGGTACTAGAGGAGCACTCAGAAGTTTTTATCTCGTAGTTTCTGATATCTTGGATTAGAGAATACTGAAAATTTAGTGATCTGATGTACATCTACCACCCATTAAAGTAAACTTCATTTATCTCCTTTGTTTTTGAACTAGAAACAATCAGAAAAATACTGCTATTGGTAGAATTTCAGATAAACTGTCATACCTTGGCATCAAAGCAGGGCAGATGGAAAATTGATAGCATATTTTCCAAAAGTACAATAGTTGTTTTGTGTCTGCAGTATCTACATTCAGAAAGTCTTTCTGAGGGCTGACCATACTTTTCAGCTCATTTGTTTGTTAAATAATCAGCACACCACCCTCACCACCCCCAACCCCTTACCACCGGCCCACAAACACATCCTAAAGGAAGAAGTGATTGGAAATAGAAAGGACTATGTTACCACAGTGGTGGATTTGAAGTCGTGAAGCAGCCATTCCTAGCTGCAGGCGTATGTGCGTATTTTATCCTCCCTAATTGGCTTAACTAAAGTCAGTCATGCTGAGATTTAGTTTACTTATCATGTCTCCACACGGTAACATTCACCGAATAAACTTGAAATTTCTTTTCCACAATGGAGCCCCAACCTGTGTTTCCATTCTAATATTTCCCTTTTCCCTCGATCTGCGCTTGCTTCAATTTCCTCATCTCATTTTTCAGCCCACTGTGATTGGAATTTATTCCACTTTACACTAAAATTCTTCAGGCACATGCCCTAGCAGCTTTTTGGTTGCCAAATTCAAGGGCCTCTGTGAGATTCTCATCTTTCTTTGGCATCTGACTCTGACCACTCCCCCCTGGAAGCTTTTGTGATGCTGTTCCTGTTGTTCTGCTGTTCTCACTTCCTTTTCACTCTGCTGGCTCCTCTTCACTTCCCCTTTAAATATTAGCAGTTCTGATTTTAACCCTGTTCTTGTTACAGTAGTGGTGCTTAATTTTATTAGGGTTATGGTACCCTCTGGACACATATTGGAAGCTGACAATCCTCTTCCTAGAAAAATACACATTTGCTAAAAATATTGGCTACAGTTTGGGTGTAAGGACCTCAGAATAAGAACTCTTTCTGCTGCTCCTTTTCATAGATGATCTTATCCTCTGCCTTTTTTCAGCAGTTCCCATTATGCTGAGGATTCCTCAAAATGAATCTCCAACCTAAACCTCCAATGCACCGCACATTGCTTAACTCCAGGAAGCACTGTTCACGTTGTAGCCATTGTGAATGATAGTTCTTGGAGTTGTGCATTGCATAACTGGTGTGGCCAGATACTGCATACCTGCAGCTTCACTTCAGTGCCCCCAGAGGCACCTCACACCTAACAAGTCTGATATTGAGCCTAATTACCCTTCCTCCCAACCTACTCATCTTCCTGTTTTCCTTGCCTTGGAGAGCAGCAGTCCCATCCGTCTAATGGCAAGCCAGAAATCTGTAAGCAATCAATAGTTCCACCCTTTAACCCCTTAACCAATTATTGATCCTGAACTTCCACTGCCAAAATGCAACTGTCTCATAGTCACACCTCCATCCACTTTCCACTGCTGCCTCCTGGATTACTGCCAGAGGGAACATTTCTCTCTTGACTCTTAATCACTCTCTTCTTCAGTATCTCACCTCTCCAATCCATCCTGAAACCTGCCAGAGTGATCTTTCTAAAGGACAAGCCTGATCATGTTCCCACTCATTTAAGACATTTAAGTAACTTCTCTTAGAAGAAAGACTAAACTTTTTAACATGACACAACTGGCTGCCCTTACCTTGCCTGTTTCATCCTTAGCCCAGCCTTGCTTTGTACCCTTTGCTTCAGCCTCACAAACTACTTGCAGTTCCTGGGGTACGTGTCCACGCCTCAGTGTCTTTGCTTATGCTGCTCTGCTGCCTCACATAGCCTGAAATGTTTTATCTGTCTTTCAGGTCTCAACACGCTGGCCATCTATCCCCACTTCCTCACGCCCTCACCATTCCACCCCATGAAAAAGGCTACTCCTGTCTCCCTGTTTTATGCCCTTGTTTTAGGATCTAACTGCACTTTTTTCATCAGTCATCTTATGTACATGTCTGGCCCTCTCTAAAGATTGCAAAATCCTTGAAGACAAAGACTTCTTCATCTTAACATTTCTCACCAATGTCTTCTGTGTAACAGGCATTCAGATAGTTTGAGTAATCACTATTTATCTTTTAAATAAGTTATGTACTTGTTATTAAAAGTACTTTTATTATTATTTATTTTTGTGGTTAAATCCTTAAACAATTTTTCTGTGTATGGTATTAGAATTTATTTTGTGGAAGCTTGCTTTTCTTAAAATACTATTCCCAGAAGGTCCGTTCCCCAAGCAGAGAATTTGCGTACCTTGTTCATTCTCTCTTGATTCAGGATCGCATAAGAAAGGACACAGCACCCAGCTTATCACATAAAATTGAACAGTGATCACACTCTCTTTTTCTCAACAGCCCCCACTGTGACTTTTTACAAGGATCTTCTATTTTTCTTTAACCTTTCGTGTATTTGTCTCATCTCCTTGACTGCATCATAGACTCATTAATGTTGGGAACTGAGTCTTGAACTGTTTTTTCTTGCCCATTGAGTCTATCTATGGGTGTTCAGTATATGGAGTGATTTTAACATATTGAATGATCGTTGTTTCCAGGTTAGGATGTTATTACACACACATATATATTTAAAAAACATTTTGTTTTAGTTTAAATATTGAGGGAAGCAAACTAAAGTTAGCCTCTACTGTTTTATAGCATCTGTACAGAATGTCATCAGATGGGAAATGCTCACCTCCAGTTTTGCAAAATGGCTCCGACCGAGGCAGCTCTGTCTCTTCAGATCTTCAGGTAGGAAGACACAGCGAGATTTGTCATGACTTATTTATTTCAACCAAGTGATAACACAAGGAAAAACTAGGAATGCGTTTTTCATTCATTCATACTATTTACATTTATGATTATACTGTGTATATAATGTGTATCAAATTATAATAATATCAAACTTTGGGAATGATTTTACAAATTCTGGGAAATACCTTGCATTGTTTTCATTAACCTTTCAGAAAATAATCATGAACTCTTCCCATCATTCTTTGTACGAAGGCTTCAAACCATTCAATGATAGAAGAAGCTGAAAATCTCAAGAGACATTTTTTTCTTGCAATTTTCCCATTGTAGCTCTCTCTTATGAATGATCTTTTCACTTTAATGCAAATTAATAGAGTATCATGGCATCCAGAGTTCTGGGCCCCTGGACTCCCCAGTGTTCCATTCTCGGTTCCAGTCCCTGTTGCCACAGCATTCAGCACCCGCTGCTGCCCGGGACCCGGACGGTGACAGGTGCATTGACTAAGGAAGGTGTGGCTTTTATATGAAATGTTTTAAATGTCTTTAATTCTAAATCTTTTATTATCAAAAATATGGTTCAGATTTCTGGAGAAGATTTTAAGTGAGAGAATACTGACATGGTCTGTCTTGGGTTTTAGGGTTAGATCACTTAAGAGGGGGAATGCTGAATGGCGTGTTTATGCCTAAGTAGAGCGAGTTGTTATTGGCCCTGTGTAATACGACAGAAGCTTTAGGAAAAGATTTTATAAAACAAATAAGTTCCTTTAATGGAAGTTACAGATTGAGGAATTGGGAGGCTTTTGGCAAAGTATGTGTGAATATTTACTAGGATCAAAGTGGCCCGGGCTGTGACACATGCTTCATCCTTGCCTTCCCTTTAAATGGTACCTCTTCCACTTCGTGCTGTCTTTTTAGGCCACAGCACTTTT